CTGCATGATGCGGTGTACTAGGTGCGGTGATGTGGTGCGCTATTTGCATGGGGGCTCAGCGGTGCCCCCGCATGCCACCAGCCGGCCCGCCGTCCGCTGGTCATAAACAGGACCCCGATGCGGATGGCACGGGGAGGACTCGGCGATACCGGCGCTGTGGCGGCGCGTGCAGCCTGGGCCCGGCCCGGCCGCTGCGGCCAGCACTGCAGCGGCTGCAGTCGGCCCCGCCTGCCCGGGTGTCGGCCGACGTGCCAAACCACTCCCGGCATCCCGGGAAACTGCGAAATAACCAGTTTTGCACGGCTGTCCTGAGCAGCTGGAACGGGTGATATGGGGAGAAAGCCGCACTGGTGCGCAGAGTAGCATGACGGCTGGCCATGAAGGCGGCTCGCGGGACGCTGGCGGGCGGCCCGCAGGACTGACCGATTACCGGGTCAGACCAGGTCAGACTAGATCAGACCACACCAGACCAGACCAGATCGGGCCAGACCAGATCAGATCGGACGAGACCAGACTAGACTAGACCAGACCGGGCCAGACCAGACCAGACCAGATCAGAACAACCCAGACTAGACCAGGTCAGACCAAACAAAAGCGGGAAACCAGCCCGGATCGCGTTCAGCTGCGGCGCTAAGTGACAGGTGGCGGACCTGGCACCACGGGCACGCGCCGGGAGTCAATCCCATACAGTCGACTCATAGGGCGACCATAAGCCCTGATCGGCGGCATACTGGGCAGCGAGACCCTGTTTGGCGGTATGCAGGGTGGTGAGGCCCTGTTCGGCGGTATGCAGGGCAGTGAGATCCTGCCCGGCGATGTGCAGGGTTGTGAGTGTATGGCTGCATTTAAGTCCATCCATGGCATCAAGATGGCGGGGAAAAAGTGGTTATGGCACTATTTTGTAGCGCAAGCGTTGTAGTGTCATTCTGCCCGCACCGTCAAGCTCAATGTTTTTTTCAGCCATTTGATATCAAATCACATAAAGCACTTGCATCTTATAATGCCTCATAATCGTGTAAAAACAGCATGTAAATGAATTTTGATATATGGATAACATCCAGGTGCCACCAGTCCATGCAACGCGCTGCACCTGATTTGTTTACGCGTCGAAATAAATGTTTCTGTCTATCGTCTGGCAAAATTCCTGTTTGTCAACATGTCGGAGATATTTCAGGATGTTTTTCCAGCATGTCAGATAGCGGAGGCTGCCGTTGGCAAGATACTTGGCAAGTTGGCGACCACTGACCTTGGGGGGGGGGGCGAATGGGGTCATTGATGTTTTTGAATTTTAGCATCGGCCCCCATAGGTAGGCATGGTGCCTTCAGGATTGACATTCAGGACCTAAGACCCTCTTATTCTCCCCCCCCCCCCTCCTGATCTCCAGGAAGTCCTATATTTGAAAGGCAGCACGTTCCCCTGACAGATCCGTGTCTGAATACACGATTGATATCTACTGAAACAAGATGGAGGATGGACAGCATCAGGGATGAATTCTAAAAAAAATCATGTCAGAGAGCTGCGATCGCCGTTGTTTCACAAACGTGCGCCACCGTCTGTGGCTGGCATCACCGCCCTTTGTTCCCCGGTACTCCCCTCCCAATCCTGGAGCGGCAAATAAGCCTAATGATTCACCCGCACCCCAAACTATCCCAATTGCGAATGCTCGCAAACAGCAATTAGCCTGAAGCGCCCTGCGGCCGGCGGGCAGACCAAACCCGCGCGCTGCGCCGTCTCTAGCGGCCGGACCCGCAGCCGGCGATCCTGTCGCTGAGCCGTCTCTGGCGGCCGGACCCGCAGCCGGCGAGCCCGTCGCTGAGCCGTCTCTGGCGGCCGGACCCGCCCGCTGAGCCGTCTCCGGCGGCCGGACCCGCAGCCGGCGAGCCTGCTGCGCCGGCTCGATCGCCCCGTGCGTTCCTGACAGCTGACTTTGAATAGAGCCGCACGGCATCTGATAGAGCTCAGCTCCCAAGCTGTACGGGCCGGCCGCCCGGTCAGGCCGCATCGGTCGGGCCGCACCGACCCGGCACCAGTGGAAATTTCCACCAGCGGCGGCGCCGACGAGCCAGCCCGGTCCGTCTCCTGTGGGGCGCGCGCCACCGCGTCCCGCCTCAGCGTCCGACCCCAGGACAGGGAAAAATGACTCCGGCTACGAGCGGCGAACGACCTCAGCCATCGGGAGCAAACGAGCACTGCCAGCGGGAGAGCGCGACTCCGGCCAGCGGGCGCAACCGACCCCGACCAGCAGGAGTAAATCCATCTAGCCCGCAGGAGTGTATAATCCCAGCTACCTGAGGAGGCACGCGACCTAAGCTAGCAGAGCTGACGGCTCAAAGCAACAGGTTGAGCGCAGTCAATAACAGCTGAGAGTCCAAGGAGTCCGTCCAATTGTCCTCGCTGGAGCCAGGCGCCGTGACCGGGCCCACTCGAGCCGGCAGACGCTCCAACCAGTTCTGCTGAGGCGACCGACCGGTCACAACCAGCCGGCATCACTCCAGCCTGCCTGGCATTATCAGCAGCCCGGTCACAATCAGCCGGCATCACTCCAGCCTGCCTGGCATTATCAGCAGCCCTCCCTGTGGCCGAGTGAAGCGTCGAGCGCCGTCGCGACAGCGGCTGTCACCGCCGACAGTCGCAGCCAGGCGCGCAAGAATTGGACTCCGGCGATGAAAGATGATGAGCGCAATTTCGCTGACCGCCGCAGTGAACCGACAATGCAGTCAATTGCCTCGAAATGACGAAGGCATCAGGCAGGAAATGCCAACGTGTGGAAAAGTTCGGGCATAAGCAACAAACAATTGCCATTTTCATCAGAAAGCGGCCCAGTTCACGTCCCACGGCGTTGCCAGCCAATGACGCGTTCCTGACCTGCCACCCCTGATCCTCGCGGGCGGCTGATGGCCCCATCTGCCTCATCGACCTTTACGGTGGCCCCTGGGCACTCGGTGCGGACCCTGGGCACCCGGCGGCGCCCGTAACCCCGGCGCCGGCGGCGGCCGGCCGGGTCAAGGTCGCTGGACCTCTAACGGCGCTGCCCGCACGTGTCTGCTGCAGGCCGAGGTGTGTTTTCGCCGGCATCGCCGCCGTGCCGACGCGGCTGTTGATGCTGGCGCCAGCGCTGGCGCCCGGCGCTGCCAGCGCGCGTCACTGGCTCCAGAAGAGAGCGGCGTGGTGGCGTGGCGCACGATGAATGCGGGCCGCCTGCGCGCCGCTGTCGAAGCGACTTCAGGTGGAGGTCGGCCCGGAGCCGTTCTGTGGGGCCGGCGCCAAGCGGCCTCCGTCGGCTCGCTCTCTCAGTGAAGGCCGCTGGAGGGTGGCGTGCTGCCTGCTCCGGCGGCGCGCCGAGCGGCCGGCGCGCTGGGGAGCCGGCGACCCGTCCGTCACCCTCTGCCCGGCTGCTGCAGCGGGGCGGTCAGGCGGCAGCGCTCTCGCGTCCGTGGCCTTTATTCGTACGACAGGCGGGGCCCGGGTGGGGGTCAATGGCCGCGCTGCAGCGCGAGGTGTCGGCATGACCTTGACGGCCAGTCAGTGGCGGCGGGTTAATGGGGGCAGTGGGACCCAGCGCCCGCGCCTGTGCCTCACCCCATATCACTCCAAAATCAACACCAATCGTATGGCGCTGCATGAAATGACATGATATACAAATCACATTCGCCCCTACCCGCGCTTTCGTCCGCCATAACCCTTCAAAGGATCCCCCGTTCGAGCGGGTGATGAGAGCGTCCGCCGGCATTAGCCCTCTGGTAACTAGGCCGGCTTTCGAGCACGCCTGGCCGTCTTCCGGCCGGCGGCGCAGTGAGACATGATGATGATATGATGATGATGACGAAGATGATTATGTGGAAAAGAGCCCGGGCCCCGCCTGCGAGGTGACGACCCATCAGCGGCCGCGGCGCCGGCCCCAACCCAGCGGGCGGCCGTCTGGAAACATACGGAAGGAGGCGCCGACATGTGGGTCAAGCCGGCGCGCTGGCCGGGAGCTGGGTGCTGGGTGCTGGGTACAGCCAGCGTCTCACAGAAGGAGACTGGGGCAGGGGCTGGGTGCTGACTGCAGCCAACGGTTTACAAAGAGAGGCTGGAGTACCACATTTGGATAATGCGCGCGGTTTTAAAAGGCGCGTGGCACAAAGGCGAACAAATCCACCATGCAAAAGTTTCCCACCGCTTCTTAGATCATCCAATCAGCTGTGCAGCTCTTTTCCCACCGCTGGCCCGGATTAAAGAACAGCCCATTGTGCAGCAAGCACCAAAACGGACAAATTGCGGTCGCGCGACGGCCAGAGCCACTGTCTGCTGTCGCCTGCTGTTAATGAAGAGGACGGCTGCCCCGGTGCCGCTCCCCCGCGCGAACCAGCGACCTTGGACGGATCTGGACGGTTCATGAGGGAGACGACGGCGCTTACGCAGCGGTAGCGGAACGCTGGCGGCAACAGCCGCCACCGAGCTCACTTCCTCATTGCCAGCTGTATACCGCTTGCGCGGGCTCGGGTGGCACTGCGCGGCGGCACTGCGCGGCGGAGGGGTCAGAGTCTGTCCGGCCACCCGCCCGGCCCAGACGGGCGAGGTGGCTGCCTCGACGCAGACTTCCGGCCGCGGCTGTCGGAACCCCGCGTGAGACGGCCTCTCTGTAAATGCCTCTATTTGTTGCCCTGGATACCACCACAGCAGACGGCACAGCCGGCGTCATGGAGCGCGCGAGAACGTGCACGTCGAAGTCGGCTGGCTCGGCCGGACCACGGGCCGGCTCGGCAGCCGCGCCCAGCCGTGCCGTCCCATCGGTGGGTCGGGCAGGTCACCCTGAGACGGCCGGCCGCAGCCCGTCGCCGCCGAGCTCGGTCCCGACTTGAGGAGCTCTCACACTTCCGGGCTAACAGACACGACGACCGCACACAGCGCTGAGCTCCCTCTCCACCCCCACCCGCCCCCTCCCCGTTCGTGTTCGCATCCGCCATCCGTCGCGCGGCGCGTAGGATGACCCCCGGCAGCGTCCGGCGGCGCTCACCATGATGGCGATGTAGTGGCGTACGTCGAACGGTAGCGGCCCGTCGCCGCGCATGATAAAGTGCTGCGTGCGCGTGAAGACGGCCAGGTACTCGGCATGGCAGCACATGTGACGTAGCGCCGGGTCCTGCGAGACGCCGACGTCGCTCAGCACCGACACCTGCGGAACGGGGGTGGCGCCGGTCACTTGAGGGGCCGTCGGCCAGCTGCTGCAGGCCGGGCTCGGGCCGGGCCGGGCCGGGCCGGGTCACGAGACAGGCTGGGGTGGCTGTGGGGAGTTTAAGGCGCGTCGGCTGCAAATGGTTGGCTTGGGAGGAAGGAACGGATCGAGACGTGAGATTGGGTTTATTTTTTAGTGCAGAACGCCACGGCCAGATCGGACGGAGGATAGGTTACGATGAGGGACAGATCACAGTCAAGAGGAAAGCCAGGTCACCACATGGAGAGGGTGTCGGCCGACGACACCGGACGGGTGAACAGCCAACCGGTACGACTGATGCAGTCCAGCTGCCAAATCGCTGAATGCACTCAGCCCAAGTCCACGATTGAAGAGCACCAGTCACGTGACACTAAAAACATCAGCAAAAGCTACCCAAGAGCGGCTCCAAACTGGCATTATGGCGCAACTTCAACTGCGCGTGTTTGTGCAAATAACCACAGACTCACGCGGCGTCCTGCCACTCCCTCAGCATGGTGACCGACTCGATCGGAGCAAACACCTTCATACGGCGGCATCGATGCAGCTCGACAAAGAGCGCAGGAGGCCGGACGGGTAATGTTGCGCGAGGCTCCGCGAGCGAGGCGCTCCCCACAAACGCCAGGTGCACAAACACAACCGCGCCGGCAACGTACACACGGAGACTGGCGCAGCCCTTGGAAGCGGATGTACCGAGAAATTTCTGATAATCGATCGGCGCTATTCCAATAATGCTGGAACATAAGCAGTGATGTTATTAGCTATGCCGGGGGGTGTACGAAGAACACTTGTTCCCAGCATGTCTGGAGCAACAGCTGCGCAAAAATGATATGCGACTCAATTCACTGAGGTCCAAGCCACCAACACTTGCGAAACCAAAAACACGTTGAGCCAGTTAAACAGTGATAGGCATAATGTCAGCGCACAGGGAAGTATCGCTTGGGACGTGATGACGCAACGTCGAAGGCGGCATTGCAGCAATTATAAACAACTCGGTGTTGCAAGTGGTGTCTGCGTATGCACGCTACCGATCTTCCAGCTCGGTTTTTACCACTGGTGTTGAGTTTTCAAGTTCCTCGCTCCCCCATTGTGCGTCATACGCAACCGCAGCGGCAACAGGAGAGTATGCCGCCTGCTTGCATCACCGCAAAGGCATTCGCGCCGTCGCGGCCGATGAACTCAGCGTCCGAAAAAGCGCGCGCAAATGTGGCGCGCCAGGCGCGGCTTGTCATCGGCCGCGCTTCGGCGGCCCCGCCCGCGGCGGCCACAACCTGCACCGCACGTGCGCTTCAGCCGGCCGGCCGGATTCGACAGGCCCCGGCCGGCACAAAGACAGCTGCAACAGGTGCGCGAGCCGGCCGGCGCCGTCCGGCCCAGTTCCACGGCGGGCGACGTCATCACGGTCAAGGTCATCAGCCGGCCGGGCCGCGATGGTGGCGGAGGTCACCGGAGGTCACCGGAGGTCACCGGCGGTCATCGACGGAGGCCCATCGCGGCCACAGACAGGGCCGCACGATCTGGCCGAGATCAGTCGACCAGGAACGGGAACCAGCTAACGAGGGCAGTGCCGGGCGGATAGGTCCGTTTCAATGTCAGGCTCGTGATGCGCGGCGGGCATTGAGCTCGGCCAAAATCGCAGCATGACTTCACTCAGCGCTCTGACGCTGTGCCTGCCGGACCCCTGAGCTGTGCCGAGCGACTGCAGCAGCTCTGAGCTGTGCCGAGTTTGATCGGATCAGTTCAACTTAACTCAACTCAGATCAGCTCAGCTCGGCTCAGCTCGGCTCGGCTCGGCTCGGCTCGGCTCGGCTCGGCTCAGCTCAGCTCAGCTCGGCTCGGCTCGGCTCGGCTCGGCCCGTCGCCGGGGCCTAGCGATCGATGCTGCCGAGATTCCCGGCGGCCGGCGGCGGCCATGTATTGGCGCCGTGTGCAGCTGGAGTGCCGGCCGGCAGGCCTGCCCGGTACGGCCACGGCTGTCGGGGTGCGGGAAACAGCTGCGTGCTGCATCTCTCTGTCGGCTGGAGAAATCCGCCGATAGCGGGCTGTTTGTCCAAGGATTAGGCTGGCTCTCATATCGCAGCAAGTTACTTTGATCTAATAGGGCAATATTCCGGTTCAGTATTGTTCCCTTAATATAAACGGCTGCCTGCACCATGCAAAAATTGCGCCATTGCGCAGACATTTATTGCTCCAGCGCTGGGTCAGGGTAACACTACTACTCGGCATTGCCTTCCAGTCAGCCTTCCATCAAACTCGCACGGGCTGAAAGTAATCATTACGTGGGTTACTGCAATTCCTCCCCGTGTAGGAGGATACGTTAAAAGCTATGCAGCTAAAATAGGGTGCGGAGACCGTCCCAGTAAGATTAGGTTTTACATGCTTCCCGTAAGAAGATAATGCAAACAGCAATCACCAAAGTCCTTGGCAGTTGATAAATAGAGACATAGCAAACAAGTGGGTCAATTCAGCTAACGAAAGCAAATTATGAAAATGGGCACTCAACGTTGCTACAAGATGTGCTCCCCTGGTACACGAGTCGTTAAGACAAAAAGCTGACGATGAACGACATACACATCGTTTTAGAGTTTGCCTGATGACAAATTTATCATACTCCTCAAGTGCGATAATCGCGACAATACATATGTTATTCAACACATCGCACTCGACAGACAAGGTCAAGGTAGTTGTCCCTTGAATACATTCCATGTCGATTTTAACCAGCAATCAACGTGCAGCTAGCTATGTCAGTGATTATCATTTTCTTATACGGCACCGGTACAGGGAACACGGCACCGGTACAGGGAACACGGCGCCGGTACAGGGAACACAATGGAATCTGGCAACAGTTTCAACAATGGGGTTCAGAGATGCTGAATTGCTTCATTGTTGGGAACGTAATAGAGCCACACGAATATCACCACGCATCGTAAGCCATTAGCGTAACGGGATTAGTGGGTGATGCTGAGTCCTGTAGCTAGCGCGGGAACTCGGCGCATCTGGCACGCCTGGGCATGACATGAGTCACTGATGTGCATGCCGAAGTTATATCTTCCTCGCCTCCCCGACACAAACATTCAATAACGTTGTGCACACGTGCCCAATTACGCAATGCGATGGGGTCCTTTTCATGTCAGCCGACATATGTCAACGTAATGGCTCCGGCATACGGCGGTCCTTCCTTCGCACCTGGAAGCGCATTTATTGTGCATGCCTTCGCCTGGCCATGCCGTGGCCGCCCGGGCCAGGGTCAATTGACCATCTGGGCGGCCAGATGCTCCGCAGGCGGAAAAAAACATTAAGAATCTGCCAATCATAACCCGACATAGCCCGACGCATGCAGCTGGAGCGCTTTTCACTGGCTGCGACGGCCGCGCGAGGCGCTGACACGCGTGCCCGAACAGCCCGGGGACGCTCGACGCCAGGCAAGGCCGTACGGATCCATGCAATAAAGAAAACCAACACTCGCCGGACGAGTGCCGGTAGATTTTTCACGGAGTGATACATGCTGACGCTGTAAATGGTATCGCAGCGCATCCAAGGCTGGCCGTTTGTGACTGAAGGCTTCGGAAGCTCGAGCCCATGCTCAGGGAACATCCTACCCTTTAATTGGTCGTTTATCATCGATTTCTTTTAAAAGAGCATTGCTGGTATGAACGATTTCGTGCCAAATAACTTTTGGAGAACCTGATAGGTCGACTCGAGAAACTATGTGAGGTAGGAGCGGTACTAATGTTCATGCTCATACGGAGTGGTCCCCAATAATTTAAGTTCAGCATAAAGCCTGCGACGGTGCACAGGAAGAAAGGCCTGAGCAGGCAGGACATGAAACTATGGTGTCAGGTACCGACGCGGTATACGGTTCCATCTGGGAAAAAATTTACTTGACACGAAACGAGCCGTCGCGCTGTTTGAAGCGATCAGGGCATAAAGGTGCATTGCTACATTCAGAAAGATAAAAAGGCGATGAACTGGCGGATCAGATTCTGTGTTGCCCGCTAGGGTAGACTGAATCCTAAAGCTCAAGCCGCTGCGGAGCTCCACCCGCTGCCGGTAACCGGTGCCAGCTGCCCATGTCAACCTGAGGCCTGGCATGACCAGGCTGACACGAGGGCGGACGGGCACGCTGACACGGCGACCGCCGCCCAGGGTGTGTCACCCCTGGGTGTGTCACCCCTGGGTGTGTCAGCCATGTCCGGCGGACGCGGTCGGCTGTGGCACGACGTCGCGGCGTCCCACCGCCTTGTCCGCGCTCGTCGCCGCTCGGACCCGTCCGCGATGTCCGGTGGACCGCCGCGTTCGTCAGCGGAAGCCGCCGTCGCCCCGTGTCACTCCGAGCAGACTCGCGCGCGGTCAAGCCCGAAATACCTCAGGTGTCTGCGGCTCCTTCTGGTCAAGAGCTGCGAGCGCCAGAGTTGGCCGAGGCTTATTGGAACTTTTGACGAGTCGGGACTGGACTTCGGACTGGCCAGGACTATCTCGGGTCTCCACGGCCGCGGGCCGCTCGGGAGCCAGCAGATTGCGAGTCACGGCAAGACAAAACATGTTTTCGCCGGCGCGACTCGAGTGGATGTGCGGCCTGAGCGCCTGACTGGGGGCCTGACTGGGGCCTGATGCGAACTGCCGAGCTCCGCTGGGAGACACCGGTAACGGAGCTCTGCTCAGCCATGGGGAGTCAATCACACCCTGTCTGTGGCCCAAAGTCGGCCAGGGCCAGGCGACCATCTTGTCATATGTGTTTAGCGGATTTCAGTCAAGTGACCCCCATTTGTCGATACCTTTCATTAAAAAACGGGATACTGTTTTCACTTACGCTCACGCAGCTCTGCGCTCACATCCATCGTTTCTTGTTTCTATGTCCAAGACGACAAAAGCGCCCAATATGCATTCTTCCCTGACGTTTGAGGTGCTGAACGTCCGGGCGGTTCTTGAGAGAATATTGGCCATGAGAAAAAACAAAAGGCGACACAGCGCACCACTATGGGCCAAATTGTGGCCACAAACTTCTCTAAGAAAAGGAATTTGGCCGATTCATTTATGTGAAGCAGCCACCACGTTCTGCGGGGCTGATTGTGCTAGACTTAGACCTTTTAAAATGCTCTAAGCAACCGTGCAAAAGCAATGCAAAAACGTTCCTTGACTGAAGCAAGTAATCACGAACGAAGCGAGAGTCCAGAGCGCATGCACGTCTGCATGGCGCACCCGCAGACTAGGACATCTAACATGCATTACTGACTGACTGGTCTGGGGCCGTCCAAGCCTGAAGGTTCTGACTTAAGGCGCAAACATCCGATACAGTGCAGCACGGCGCCGGGAGCCTCCTATCAATGTGAACAATGATGTTATCCATGCCTTATTGATCACGTCTTTCACAAACTCAGGCGTGTGCTGAAAGTTAAATGCTGCACAAAACCGATATTCCGAGCATCGCACTGCTGATGTGGCGGCCTAGACCACCGAGATCACCAGATCGAAGTTTATCAGACCAGTTTCAAACCACATAGTCATGGTGTATTTATTTTCCTGTGAATATTATGCAAAGCATATGGCATACTAAGGTTGTATTTTCCGCAAGCCCTGCAAATGTGTTTAATAGAGGATTAGACCGAGCAAGTATACAACTTTGCTATAGAAGATGGAGGTCGGGAGACCAGGAAGCGTCGCATCTCGATATTCCAGGGGGTATATTGGGGACAGACTCCTTCCTTCCTCTCGGAAAAAATCTCCTCCCTCTCGAAAACCTGAGGGATCTCTACAGATTCCTGCTTTCATCACCCTCAGCTTTCATCAAAACCTACCGTCATCCATCGCCTTTGCCACAACTGTACCGGTGAGCCGTCTAGCACGTTGGTGTTTCCGTGTCAGCTGACCGGGCACTCACGTCATACAGAAGTCGTACGGCAGGTCGGCTCGTCCATCACCTCGCACGCGCCGATCGCGGCGCCCGAGTCCGCCGACTCGGGCAGCGTGCCCGCGCACGGCGCCACCTCCGGGTCCACGACCATGGCTAGAGCCGTGCGCCGTGCCCTACCCCCGCGCCTCCCGCCGCCCGACTGGCGCTCGGCGCTCGGCGCTGGGCGCCGGGCGCCGGCCGCGCGCCCGCCCGCCGCCGCCGCCGCCGGTCTGAGTCGGCCGGGCGGCCACATTTCGTCAGGCGGCGCAGGTGCCACATGCGCGGCCGGCGCCCGTATTGAGCAGGCGGAGGCGGCGAACAAAGGGGGCTGGATCCGGACGCCGGCGGATCCGGATACGAAGGGTCTAGCCGGATCCGGGTTCCGATGGGGAAGGGGGTGATTCAGAAGCCGGCAGTGCGAGGCGCGCCAGGAAGCCGGATGGGATGGCGGCAGGGTCGAAAGGGGCGCCCTCCTCTCCGGAACTCGCGCCCTCAGTCCAGAGCCAGTGAGTTACGTCCTGGTTCGTTGGCGCTATCGCGACCACCAGCGTCGGACGCAGAAGCTGCCACGCTAATTACTTGAGCTACCACGTGCGGTGAAAAGTAGTCTGTTTTCGTCGACCGTTGCCTCTATCGATCTAGTATCTGTGTCCAAGAGTGCGGGCGTTGGGAGAAGGACCGGCTCGCAAGCGGAACAGGAGCATCATCCGGCCGCTGGCAGCAGAGGCTGCGGCATGGGCGCCAGCCGCCCGGCCGAACTCCGAACATCGGTGGTGAGACCGAGATCGAAGCCCCGGCAGTAAAACCGCCGCCCAGACACAGACGGCTCGGGACGTGAAGCTGGCCGGCGCGAGAGCCGAAGTCCGGGTGCGGATCGCCAGAGCGAGTTCGCTATATCTCTGATGGAAGTGGAAACCAATGGGACGTGATGTGGGAGGGGAGCAGAGGGACCAATGGCAGCGCAGGAAATCATGGAGGTCCCCTTCGATTTGTTGTCAATACGATTGTCAGCTGGAATGCGTGACGTCATGCGTGCTGACGGAGCGTACGATGCGTGGGCTGATGGAAAGTTTTTAACCTTGCCTTCCGTTTTTCCTTTACCTTTTAACCACTTCAGACTATACGCTAACTCTGGCTTTCTGCCAACCGTTACACACTACCTATAAAGTGGTGTTCGGAAGCGTGTATCCTGCTCTGATATTAAATAATCTATGCTGTCCGTAAATTGAGTGGTTCCTCCCATTTCTATCTCATTTCAATTTCTTCTTTTCTCATTTCGAGTGTCGCTCATATTTGTGTGGAACCGGTCCATCGATCCTTCGCTGCTACTTGTGCCGGCATTAAGCCCATCCTTTCGTTGAATTGCAGTTTGTACTGACAAAGCCGATGTTCGAGGCCCGCGGCGTTTCGTTCCTGTTCTCCATCTTTTAACATCACTCCAACGTCATTAATTTGCTGGCGAACGCCACCACACACCACACCAATCACTGTTACTCACCTTTTGATGACTTCTCTTGGTGCTTGAATTCCTCTCTTATCTATCCTACGCTGCATCCCCCCCCCCCCAAATTGGTGACAAGTGCTCCACCCCACCTAACGTACTCGCCAATGCAGGGAATACCAAATCAATCTTCCGCTTCTTTGTCAGAGTGACTCTTAATCTGGTAGCGCTTCCTTTCCATGCTGACGGGCTGACAAAGGCCGCGTTCGATCTACCGTCAGCACGTTGGTCAGCACGTTAATCAGCACCAATCATGAACCAGTACTCGCCGACCGTCACGTCACGTAACCAAAAAAACACCTGGCCTGTGACGTCACGCGTTGGCTGACGATGATGCCAGGATTTTTTGTTCACCATCGGTACGGAGAGAAAGTGTCACCATATCACAAAATCCCTCTGACTGAAGCGGGAGTTTATTTGGTAGCTCTTCCGTTGGTGAGTACGTTAGGTGGGGTGGCGGCACTTGTCTCTAATTTTGGGGTAAATGCGACGTGAGATAGATAAGGAGGGAATTGCAACATTAAGAAAAGCCATTAAAAGTTTGATGGTGAATGGTATGGTGTGTGGTTGCGTTCCCTAGTAAGTTAAAAGCGTTAGTTAAACACTTAAATGAGAGGAAAGAAATTGAAATGAACTAGAGATGGGAAGAAACGCTCAACATACGAATGGGATAGATGGTGGCAATACCGGAGCAGAAGCCACACTTCCATACACTACTTTGCAGGTAGTGTGTCGGCGGCAAGCCAGATTTAGTGTGTGCTCTGAAGTAAAAATAAAGGAAGAAGGGAGAGGAAAGTAAGAAAACTTTACCGTCATCCCACACATCGGACGCAACGTCAGTAAGCGTGACGTCATGCGTGCCAACGGAGCGTTCGATGTGTGAGTTGACTGGAAAGTTTTTTAAACTTGAGTTTCTATTCTTCTTTTACCTTTTACTTCAGTCCACACACTAACTCTGGCTTTCCGGCCGAACATGTCACTTTACGTACAAAGCGGTGTTTGGAAGTGTGGCTTCTTTTCCGGTATTACCACCATCTTTCCCATACGTGTGTTGAATGCTTGTTCCCAATTCGAATTCATTTCAGTTTCTTCCGTCTCGCTTTAGATGTTTACCTATAACGTATTAATTTAGCCGGGTAATGCAACCACACATCACACCAATTACTGTCACTCACTTTTTCATGGCTACTTTTGGCATTTTGATTTCCTCTCATCTATCCTACGTCGCATTTTACCCCAAACTAGAAACAAGTGCTCACACTCCGCCTGACGTACCCGCAAACACAAGAGCTACCAAATCAAACTCCCGCTTCAGTCACAGAGATTTTGTAATCTGGTGGCGCTTTCCCTGCATGCTGATGGGCTAAAAAAAAAATCCCAGCAACATCGTCAGCCGGTGAGTGACTTCAAAAGCCACGTAACTCTGAGGTCACGTGACGTGATGTAGCGCGAATGCTGGGCCATGATTGGTGCCCCGTTCGATTTGTCGTCAGCGCGATTGCTAGGTAGAATCCGTGACTTCATGCGTGCTGATTGAGCATTCGATGTGTGGGCTGACGGGAAAGTTTTTTAACTCTACATACCTTTCCCCTTACATCTTAACTACTTCAGACCACAACTAACTCCGGCCTACCGCCGACCATAACACACTTTCTGTAAAGTGGTGTTTGGAAGTGTGGATTCTGTTCTGATATTCCCATCATCCATCTCAGCTGTAAAATGACTGCTTCTTCCCATCCCCATCTCATTTCAATTTCTTCCCTTCTCATTTTAACTGTTCACTCATTTTTGTGTAGAACCGGTCTATCGATCCTTCACTGCTACTTGTGTTTGCATCCTTTCATTGAACTCCAGTTTGTACTAGTAAAGCCCAGTTCGAAACCGGTGGCGTTTCGTTACTGTTCTCCATCTTTTGCGATCGCTCCATCACTATTAATCTTCTGGGGAACGTAACCATACACCGCACCAATCACCGCCACTCACCTTTTCATGGCTACTCTTGGCTGTTCACCTGCCTTCTATTCTATCATATGGTGCATTCTCTCAAAATTAGATACGAGTGCCCTCACCTCACCTAGCGTACTCGCCAACGCAAAAGCTATCAAATCAAACACACGCTTCTTTGCCAGAACGGTTTTTAAAATTTGATAACGTTTTCTGTCCATGCTGACGGACTGACAAAAAATCTGGTATCATCGTCAGCTGGCACGTGATGTCACAGATCATGTGAGTTTGTAGTCTCATGATGTGACGTAGGGCGAATATTGGACTGTGACCGGTACTGACAAAGGTGCTGACGGCAATTCGAACGCAGCCAAACGGAACGTTTCTCTCGTTAGGCTCGAGTTTTGACCGGTCGATGTGAAACTCGTTACAGGTTTTCTAACGTACCAAAATTACCTGCGGGGACATTCGCCCTTTTAGTAGGGCTCGCACGATCTATATTTGGGATCCCCGTTCGACCTGAGGGCACTTCCCATAGAAATGAGGAAGATGTGATGCCACCTCCCCACAAAACCAACAAGCGATCGCGGTCGCAGCCAGCGAACGAAGCATGACAAAACAAGCAAGCCAGGGAGAGCGAGGACAGAGGCCTTCCAGCAGGCAGGTCAGCAAGATCACGTGCGCCATGCCGGATGTAGGGATCACAGATGTCAGGCGCAAAGTCGCAAATGCCATAGGGATAAAGAGCTCACATATGTCAGCGGCATGGGCATCTGTGACTGAGGACTGCTGGAGACGTTTGTATGCACACTGAAGGAAGAGGAAGCTTTCTCCTTCCTACGCCCGGCGCCAGTGGAAAATCTACCGGTAGGGACGAGGAATCTCGATGACCAGGAATGTGAAAGACGGGGAAGATTTTGACAGTGAGATGAGATGCCAACAGTGCATCAGTACAGATCACTGCACGATAGTTAATATGGATTAGTTTCGTACGGAGTTTCCGGCTAGACTGAGCACAAATATGTCTCAGCTCTCGAAATATCACCATGCGGCTGATGGGCAAAGCATCTATTTAAAAGGAATGTTCCACATTTGAGGCTAATGAAGCAATTATCAGAAAAAGCTCACTTATAACTATTGGTATACTTTAGAGGGGAAACGATTGCTGTAGACAACGACAACCAATTTTTTCTATGTTGTGAATATGGGCACCAAAACGTCATTCTTTGATTGCGTTATGGAACGTTCGTATGACGTTAGAGGTGCCGCCAAATTGGCCGTGCGAGATTGACACTCCAGCACTCACTATTAATACTTTAACTCACTGAGAGTTGACAGCGGCGGTGCTGGACGCATTTGCTGAAGCAAATACTTTTTATGGGTTCGTGTTTTGGCTCCTTCTCGAGGTGTCCTAGCATATTGTCTGAGTTTGATTTATTAACTTCCATTCACATACTCGGCTATGGCGCTATTTTTAACCTATGTGCTTACAAGTCTTATTTCCGTAATAACTAGTATCCATGCCCGGCCTCTTGCACTATGTAGCTCAAAACGGGATTACCTGTACAACATTGATTAAGAGCCAGTGGACGTCCGTTATATCTGGAGATCGTCCTCACGAAAGTCAGATATGTGCGACCCAACCATTATTTTCTTCTTGGCCTTGAACGTCGCATGATCAATGAGATGGCAGTATTTAAGT